ATTGATAGTGGCAGTTTACCCAGAATAATTAGGACGGCAAATGCGGCTTGTACTCAAGCAGATCCCTGTCAGCACACTGTGGCCAAGCACAGACAAATGTCAGTTTCTGCTGCTGTCCATAAAGTATTTGGGTTTTATCTTCAATGTGAGTGGACGACCAGCGGACCCCGAGAACAATAAGGTGATTCAACAAGTGCGGGCCTTGGAAGTTGAGTCAGTGCTTCGCTCTTTCTTAGGAATGACCAGCTACTACTCAATCTTTCTGCCACCATTGCATAGTATCCGCGATCCACTGAACAGCCTTTTACAAAAAGACCATCCATGGTTCTGGTTCAAAGAGTGCGATAAAGTCGTCCAACGATTGAAGAGTATCCTTGATTCTAAATCGTTACTTACGCATTAAGATCGAAAACTACCCACTATAGTCGCTTCAGCTACAGGTGCTGGTGCCGTTTTCTTAAATGAGTTTCCTGACGGGACGCAAAAGACTGTTACCCACTTTTCACGCTCCATCTCCACAGCAGAAACTGAAGCATAGCCGCCATCACAACCAAATTCACGACTACACATGGATTTTTCCGGGCTGGTAGATGTATGTGTTAGTTAATCCTTGCGCAGCCCTATTCAAAGTGGCCTAAAGTAGTCCCAGTTACCTCATCATCCTACGGTCAAACCGTAGCAGCCCTCTTGCCATGGCGTTCCACAATACACCGTACTGGATAACGGCAGTCAATTCACGTCGCAACTATTTCAAGATTTCTGTCACAGTAATGGTATACAATATGTGCAGATGCCATCGCACCACCCTCAGTCCAGTGGCCAGGCGAAAAGATTTGTAGATACCTTCAAAACAGCCATAATGAAGGCGGGGGGATGAGCTACGCTGGAAATCATATAGTATTTCCTTTTTCTATACCACACAACTCCAATGATAGAACTGAAGAAAAGAGCAGCTAACTTTTAAATGGGACGGAGGTTGCGTACTTACCATCATTCCACATTGCCACGGTCACCAGTCCAACAGAACATTACTGTAGGATATTTCCACAGGAGAGACCCGGTTTATGCTCACTATTATCGACCAGCAAAGTAAAAATAGGCAGAATGTTTGACAGAAGGTCAACACAGATGGTGAACTGGAACATGAAAGATGGATGAGACTCAAGAACCAGATACGATGTTGCCACAAAACTTCCTCAGAACCCTTGGAACAGCTACATGGAATGCTGAAACTACCTCCAGTCGATGTAGAATCAACCCGAAGAAAGCCGGTGGTCAAAAAGATTTTGCCCAGATGACTATCTGATCGAAGATGGAGGTACTAAATTTTATTGTTGTACGTGTTCAGTTTTTGAGGTGGAGGTATTATATACCTTTCATCTTTCCTAACTTTTGCTTATTATTTACATATGATGAGAAAATAACTTATTATGGTTGTTTACACCCCCTTTTTGGCACCATTGCTAGCTTTTGTTTTTCTCACTGCTTCTGAAGGCTGAACTCTCATTGGTTGCTAGCTCTCTTAACTTATTAGTGAATTGCTGAGGTCGTTTAGAATGTATATGTTCAACATCGCTCTCAACTGTTCTGGCTGTCACAGAGACAGCAGAAGCTCTCTACTTACGGTCCGTCTTCTCTTCTTGTCTTCGCATCCCGGTGGTATTGCTGCTGTGGTGGTTGACTTTCTGATTAGCGATTACAGTAGATTCGTTTACGCATTAGATTGGTATTGCTTATAGACATTTAGGTCGCATTATCGGTCATAGCAGTAAATCATAACAGAATTCGAATCAGTGACCTCTAAACTATCTGACAAGCACTTTATCAACCAAGCAACGAAACCTGTCTGGTAAGCAGATCGTAACTTGAATACAGTCACACAGTCTTCTCCACGGCTTCCATTCTATTACATGACAAGTAATTCTTCCTTTATGGTAACCACAGAGGCTGTCAAGTAGCTTAGTCTCGTAGCTCATTTAGTAGAAAGTCATTTTAGTAACTCATAAACCACTGTTTCGAGCCCTGTCACTGTCTACAAATTTCATTTTCAATCGTCACCCAGTATCAGCGACAATAATGTGTCAGTTCACGAATTTCTCATTGACAGCTTGCCTCTTTCAGTGCGGCCAGACTAAGAAGTGGCCCCAGCACATGAAGTCCTTGACTGTTGGTATGAATCGCAGACTACAAGATAGGAGTCCTGGAGTTGACATGAGTCAGTGGTAGATGACTCTTGATGTAATGACTGAAAAACAATCACAATGGTGCAGATGAATTAACTCTTTGGTGTCTTGTAAAGTCTGAATGTATTGATAATTCTTAATTTTTAAATTCCCTTTCATCCTACACACGTTTGTCTACTTTTATATCAATCTCTTCTTTCCACTTGTTCTTAGTATACTACTATACCAAAGTGTGGTAACTTGAAGCGATGCACCCGTGTGTCAGATTCTACATTATTTTTGTCTCTGTCCGTAACTGAACAATCGAATTTCCAGTGAAATAAACAAAACAAAACACCTTTTGTTTATATGAATCAGATGAATAACAAAACTATCGCAATATATTTAGTGGCTATCAGTGAAATCTAGGACAAGAATTTTGTCCTATTTTGGACCCATGAGTTAGACGCAGTTTCATCCAGCAAGTGTGGGCGTTCTCACCAGGGATCGAGTCAGGTACCTATCACTTCAAATGCCACAGCACAATCACACTAACCCACTGAGGATGGGATGAGCGTCTCGGATTCCACAGCTGGCCACGATGAAAATAAATTATGATTTAATAAATGTTAAGGCAATATCAAACGAGGTATCCGCATACTAGCCAGTCTGACAACAGAAGTCGAGAAACTCGATCCAGTATAACAACGAGGGATTACAGGTATCAATAAATAATGCCAGAAATGTCAATCGAACAAATGTACCGATCGAGGAAATCATACTAGAAGTACGATTGCGGCTAACATCTACAGTTTTTAAGTTTCAAAATAAAATATATAAACAAACTAAAGGTGTTGCCACGGGATTACCAATATCTCCAATTGTTGCAAACATATTTATGGGTAATTGGGAACAGATGGCCCTTCAAACACTTAGTCCTACTCCAAAGATATGGTTCCGATATGCTGATGATACGCTTACAGTATTGAAATTGGAACACATCAATAGGTTCTTGGCACATATAAATTCAGTAGTAAGTGCAATCCAATTTATCTGTGACTTAGAAAGTGAAGAAGGTGAACTAGAAATGTCGGATTGCAAGATTAAACGGACATAAGAAGGAAATCTAGAGACTAGTGTCTATAGGAAACCCACCCATTCAAATCGCTACTTAGACTTCGAATCATCCCACCCCATTTCAGTTAAAGTAGGCCTAGTTAAATGCTTAAGTGATAAAGCGAAAAAGCTTACTAGTAGATCGGAAAATCTGCGACAAGAAATTAGATACATCAAGAATACCCTACGTCTCAATAATTACCCACCAAGATTTATAAATAAATTCCTAAGGAATAAAAAGAAAAATATTAGCAGTGGTAGTAGTAGTAATACAGGTGTTACTAATAATAATGATAACAATACTAGTGGTAATGATGGTGACAGGGTTAAGAGAGAATTCAAAGCCTCTGCTGTGTTACCATACAAGAAGGGCATCTCAGAAGCATTAAGAAGAACTCTTAATACGGCTGTGATTGAAGTGGCATTCAAACCAACAAACTCGCTTAGAAACAAGCTTTGTAGGTTAAAAGATCCCATCGATGCAATTAAGCAAAATAATCTGGTTTGCCAGACAAATCCCTTGCAATGATTGCGAGGTCAAGTACATAGGTGAAAGCAGTCGACCAGGGTCGATTCGAATAACAGAGCACAAAAGCTTGGCTAGATCAAGATTAGTAGGTCCTAATAAGATAGGAAATCTAGAGAAAAACTCGGCTATAGCTCTGCATGCGATGACATACAACCACACAACACGGTGGGATCGGGCGACGGTGTTGAAAAATAACTAAGTTGAGTGGAGGAAGAGATTGATAACCGAATCTTTGTTTATCGAATTAGCACCAAATACATACAGTAATAAAAATGATTCTGCACCTGTCCCAGATATATGGAAAATTCTACTACCTCTGTCATCACCGAGATGGAGAGAAAATTAGAAATATGTAAAGACTGTCTCGAAGTTGTGGAGTTACATGCTGATATGACTATGGACAATAAATTGTGTCCGAAATGTTGTCCAGTAAATGCTACTGTTTCACTGTGTGATATTTCTAATAAACAGAATAGAATGGAATTACAATCGACCACAGTGCCCAAGTTTTACTCTTATATTAATTTAGAAGTAGTATTCATCATGGACTGACATCAGGTCGCTAACCATTGAAAATGGGGGAGCACTGGACGCCTGTTTCGTCCTAGTGTGGGACTCCTGAACAGTAGGCACCCACGACCCGGCTAGGGATGCAATTGAGGACGTTCAGGTTTCACGGCAAAGGCGTTAAGCATTCAGCCACTGAGTCGGTTTCCAGTGGTTGACAATTTCCAACTTCTGTCAATTCGCAACATAGCGCGACTATCACACAAGATCTTCAGTCAGCATCCACTTCGCTTCCGACTGGTTTGGTTGACCCCACAGGTCACGGCTTCCCATTACACCTTCCTGATATCCATCTGGAAGCAAGTCACGCTATGTTGCGGATTGACAGAAGTTGGAAATTGTCAACCACTGGAAACCGACTCAGTGGCTGAATGCTTAACGTGTTCGCCGTGAAACCTGAACGTCCTCACTTGCATCCCTAGCCGGGTCGTGGGTGCCTACTGTTCAGGAGTCCCATACTACGACACCTATCCAGTGCTCCCAGATTTTCAATCCTTCCCCAACCGACGTCACTCCATCATGAATACTACTCCGAAATTGAAAAATCCCCATTCATCTGAAAAATACATTCTTATATCAATGTCAATAAACGGTTAGTATTCATTTAGTAATACACACAAACTCACCGGTTCAGTCATTATTCGACGAATTGTTTGAGAATCTTCGATACATGTAAGCAGAATATCACTTGTTAAACAATCCAACTTATTCTCATATTCATTCACTAATTTTGCCAATCTGCTTAACAAAAGTTCACAACAGCAGCAACAACAAAATATACAAATGAAGCACGTCTTAATTTAATTTCAGTTGAAAATAATCTTTATCTTGAGTTAATATCATTTGCATAGAAGATGAAAACGTAATACAGCTGTTTTTCACTATTTGCATCCTTCTAAGTAGCAAAATACGGTCAACTTTATACTAATACATCACCAGTGGATAACAGATATCGCTGTCTAGTACTCAGCACTTAAAACTAAGCGAATTCCGGGGATCAAGCTACGCAGTGCAGCCACTAAACGAAATCATGAGATACTGTTGAACCCTACATTTTAGTATTAGATGAGAGTCAAGTGATAGGAAACCCTGCTTGATTTTGGTCCCTTGCTTGCTAATTCTTATCAGCAAGGTGTGTCTGTCAAAATGACGAGACTGGCATCCCCCCTCTCAAGTTAACCTTAACTTCCCCCACCCAGCAGTGAGACCACAAACTTAGTCACTGACCTGGACATGCCCAAGTCCAAGTCTTCCTGCCAAGGGATTCCCACCATCTAACATATTTGAGGCTCTCTTTTTAGTTGAACAAAGAACTTGCAAACCATGCGAAGAGTTTGCCAGTATTATTAGATTTAGTCGGAAAATATAATGGTTGACCGTGAATATCTCTCAATTGACAAATACCGTGTAAACTTTCTTGGATAAGATGATGTAATGATATACTGCTTATAAAAAAGCAATACCATGTTACTTGGGATGCCGGTATCGCCCCAAGTGCATATGCTGTTTTAGTAACGTATCTATTCGTAAGGAGGCAAGTTGACTAACTATATCACAAACTCAGATAAGATGCACCATGGCAGGAGTACTCCATGTGGCTAACTGTTGAACAATCTTTATATTTTATACTGTAGCAAGCTAGCTGTCGTTTCGCCTAATTTACCTTAAAAGCTAGTATACCAGTATTCCTTACTTTATAATGAGAGTCGTATGTGTATTTAAAGCGGCCCAGGAAAAAGGCAGTTCAAGTCCTGGATTTACTGCCAACTGACTCATAAAGCTTGATCGACACACTTTGGTTACTGCTAATTACTTGATGCGTTTATCGGCTGTCATCCACCGAAAACAAAAGCTGTGCATATAATCCAATCCTAGAGACAATCACTTATGGGCTGAATTGCCCAGTTACTTACTGTCCCACTGACTGGCTTAAGTTCAAACCTCTAAAAGAGTTGTGGGTCAACTCAAGACCATCAAGAAAATTGTAGCGCCCTCGTAGCGAAACATGAGTGTCTCTGACTGAGTCCCGTGTGGAATCACGGATATCCATTGCTAAGGTGGTAGTGAGTTCTGTGCTTGCTGGTTTCCGACAAAGTTCTGGGTGTCAGTCAACAATTAAAGCTACCAGTTTTTAACACCCTGAAAGCCTACACTGCACCATACGTGAGTCAGATCAACAATCTTTGTTCTTCAACGACGGTGGAGTTTTGGCAGTTGAAAATATGAAGTCCTGCAATGTGTACGCTTTTACAACTTCAGTTGTCTCTTGCCATCACTCACTGATAGATATGATACCAGTTGTTCTAGTCAAGAGTTCCAACCGTTGATCGACCACTCAACAGAGAAGTCTTCGTAAAATTATGTTATATCATGGTTTTACTAGTCTAATGTTTCCTTAATCTTTAGTCTACTCCCGTCAACATCTCACTTCAGCAACAGCTTACCATGCATGACATACATCTTAGCCAAACAGTTTATTTAAAGCTTCCTTCTTTCACTTACTAACTCTCACACATAGATACTGACAAATGTCAAACTAAAAATATCACAAAGGAAAAAACTCACTTTAACCCATTTACGATAGCAATTGATATGCCATAAAAATCGAACAGATTTTCAAGTTCACAGAGAACAGCTGAAATCCTGTAGAAAAACAGACAAACGATTAGTGGAAAAAAACAATGACATTTAAGCGTCTTCATAAATAAGAGATACTGAATTATTCACAAATAAGCACATACCTTCTGGTTTATTTGCAGTACCATAACGCAAAGTGATAGATATCAGTAAATATGATCCAGGGATTGAACAGTAACATCTTTGCTGTTGAACTTGGCAAAATTATACAACAGTTTATAACAGTAATGATGGATAGCGGCTAGCAGTGGAATCTAGGACGCGCATTTCGTCCTATTCGTGACTCGTCAGCTGGATACACTTCCAGTGAGTGATGTTGTTCCCACCGGGATTCGGACTCGGGAGCAATCGCTTCAAAAGCCAGAGCATTATCTACTACACCACTGAGCTACGATAGCCACTTCTTGTGCGACACCTGTAGTTTTAATATTATTGCTTGTATGATGCCGTATTGTATCCATTATCACTATAATTAAAACACAGGTGATATCAAGGTATCCGCACATAAGCACATATGCCAGTAGAGACCAATCAATTCGGTCCAGTCAATGGCGTTTATAAGGGTAGTTAGCTGGGGTATCCTAAATAAGAATGAAACAACTATTCAGTGCTCCCGAATTTTCAATAGGCTCTAAGATAGTGTTAGTTTATTGAATATGGTGTTTGTGTCAGAGAAATAAGTCTTTTCTTTTGATTGTGTTGTATTCTCGGAGCAGGGTAGGTTAATCATGAGGCTTTACCTGTCGTTCTAGACAACATTATCAGCACTAACTTTAGTATGAGTAAAATGAACTATCAAGAGTTCTCCGCGAATGATTCAGCAGCTTCATCTAACGAAACGGTTTGTGATTGTTTGCTTCCTTGGGTTGTTATGTCACTGACTGCATCGGTTTTCTCTACCTAACCTCTCGCTTTTATGATTTTTGTCATTCTTATCATCGGCTAATAGACTGCATCTGTGTCTATACATCTATTGATTCCTGACTGAACTAAATGCCAAAAACTTCTAGGAATTCTCTGTTCTTTGTGTTTCCTCTGTCCAAAATCTCTACGTAGTCAAAATTGAATTCATGACCATGGTTATCCATGTGCATTGATATGAGCAATGAAATTTCGTGGCGTTTAATAGCCAGTTGGTGTTCATGTTTACCAAGGCCAATAGAATGACCACTTCATCTAATGTAGTATTGATTTGTTAAATGAAACTAGGTTTGTATTCTTTGACTGTTGCGTCCTTTGGTCTATATAATATGGTTTGAAGGCAGCTTGTTGGTTTCTGAGCCATGCCAATTCCAAGTGCTCTCATTAACCTTGTCGTCATCTTTGATATATTTTTTACAGACGGTAGGATGATTCATTTGTTGATTTCTGTGGACGGCTTTTCAGTTGATGATGAATGGGACAGGGATCTTCTGATCAAATTTCTTGGGTAGCCATTATTCTTTAGGACAGACATCAAGTAATTTTCTTCGTTTCTCCATGAAGACGTACTGCAGTGTGAACACCAATTAGCTATTAAACGCCACGAAATTTCATTGCTCATATCAATGCACATGGATAACCATGGTCATGAATTCAATTTTGACTACGTAGAGATTTTGGACAGAGGAAACACAAAGAACAGAGAATTCCTAGAAGTTTTTGGCATTTAGTTCAGTCAGGAATCAATAGATGTATAGACACAGATGCAGTCTATTAGCCGATGATAAGAATGACAAAAATCATAAAAGCGAGAGGTTAGGTAGAGAAAACCGATGCAGTCAGTGACACAACAATCAATCGCCGTCTGATGTTTTTCTAGTTTGTTATATGTACTGTGAGTTATCGTCCAGCTGAACAAGGATCGTTTCAGAATTGTTAACTGTTACGCTAACAGTCTGAAATGTAATGCTGTGAAATAGACATGAATAAGTATGACATAAACGCAATTCCATATTCACGCATAAATGCCCTAATTGATTTGAGAGGTTAGTTATTCTTCTAGTTTTTTTGGGTTGATGGAAGCCACTTCAAGATGACACGACACAAAATAAACCAGAATTTGGATTGAGTATTGACTATGAGCAGTAGTAAGAAGCAATTCGAACATAAGGTTAAGGAGTACTGTGAATGCAAAAGCTCATCAACATATCATACTGGTAATTCCAACCTGTTGTATTCACCAAGTGACGAAATCATTAGTGTTCTGAAGTTAGGTTCCGAACTCCCTGGTATCTGCAATCCCAAAAAAATTAATATTCCCTCAGAAATATAAACCTCTGAAGCTCAGTATGGTGAATTCAATGACCTAAATAATAGTATCTTCGACTAAGGTGTAGACTGAAATAGTTCGAATTCCAGAGATAACGACAAATTCTTCCTGGGAACTGATGGGTGCGAATGTGAGATTATTGGTTTAAAGTTTTTTGTTAACTACCTTCAAAACTGCGACATCGGATACAGTTCACTAAAGTGTTCACCTGTTCAAATCAATGATAACACCTTACACTTTAATACTTAGATTATTTAATATCCACTGATGGATTGCTTTATAGTATTTATAACCTTTATCAGCCTATGCAAACCGATGTATCTACACATTGGTTGGTAGGAAGAAAGGTTGGTGAAATGCTACATTTGACCCAAAAACCAAATATTTGGTCACCTTATTCAAAAAGGTTCCTACAATGTTTACAACCATATCTTTAATAAAGGAATGACGAAACACGCCAATGAGATTCAGATCATGTTGAAATTTAGTAGACTTGAGTTTTTCTGTTTTGTACGCCTGCAAACAATTGCCATCGAAGTATTTAATAAGTATGAAACGTGACAAGGCATCACCAGTTGATCTAATCAGTTTATAACTCAATATTTCACAGTTTAAGGTGGAGTCGGTAACATATATTTCATGTCAGGTCTGCAGAACTAGTTATCTGAAAGTTGATCAAGATTGGATACCAAATATAAAGTCCTGGTTTGTAATTATGGATTAATCTTGTTTTCAGTTAATGCTTACCGATATCATCAGATTCATAAAGTCAGTGTTAATTTATTTCGCTCCGTTAAGTTCTATATCATGTCCTTTTGAAAAACAATATGCATATCCCAATATACAATGTTCACCATAGAATGAACAAACAAAAATTGTTAAGACGGGTAAAAAATAAACTTGGAGAATGTTTGTAATGACAAGATTAGAAGATTTGGATGTGAAAAGAAGCATTGGGTTTAGCTTAACCTCGTGTTTTGTGAAATTTTTGAGTAGCGTACCGTCCAGGATAATCAGCCTAATTTTCGAATGGTGGTTATGAAATAAAATTCTCATAAGCCTTCAAATTGAACTATTCTGGTGCTCATTGGTGACTAACTTCGAAAGGTGATTCCTGAAGTTCTGATGAGAAGTCATGACCAAGGGAGACAACCAAGTTGAACATGTGGACAGGTACTCAACGACGACACTGAATGAAGGTCGCATTATATTGTGAACGGACAGGGGTAAGAAACATGGACCATAGGATCCCGACCCTGTGGCTCAATGGTAACGTAGTGGCCACGGAATTTGTAGGTCATGAGGTTCATCCCTGGTCCGGTCATATGTGAGTGCTGTCAAAGAGTCTCATACTAGGACGTACTATCTGTTCGGTGCTCCCAGGTTTTCAACGTTTCTCCAACTTATGTCAGTCCACGATGAATACCAACCTGAAACAATTTTCAACTTGTTGCCTGACAAGTAAACACAAGTAATTACTCAACTGAAGAGTGTGCATGTGAAAAACAGTAGGTGTGTTAGAGCCCACGGCGCAGTGTCAGATGAGCTGTGAATGTAAAGTAGTGGCCAGCAAGGATGTTTGGTCTCTTCATGAGGACTACCTCATACCATTTGACTGCAGAAACACGAAACCTAGGTGAACCAGGGCTTCTTGCTGATCATATCCAACCAACTAACATCCATCGAAAGTGCACCGCGGTGATCAGCCTTCTTCCCAGCTTGGTGGCGACATTGAAAAATGATCGATGGAATTTGGTTAGCACTCAGAACAAGAAAACAGCAATTGTATTTGCTCTCCAGTGACCGATCAGTGCAGTAATTGACCTTGTCAAAAGACTCTAGAGCATGTAGATGATAAAGTCATTTCAGGTGAAGCCGTTGAGAAGATGAAGTTATCTGGACAGTTTAAGTAGCAGCTCGAGAATTTGCAGAATGGATTTTTCACTATTCAAATGCAAACTATTACCCAGAAAATGATCTGGGTTGATGATTCATTTTGCAGTAGGGAGTGGGTCATTACACTGATCGATTTATTCTTTTCAGAAGTGAGATCAGCGTTGATATTTTCGTGAACACCGAAATCTGGGAACAGGTATGACTGCCTCGATTAGTTGTTATTAACATACACTAACTGTAGTGCTGGTGAAATATCCGACTAACTTCTAGAGGTCAGTAGTGCTGTACAGCAGTTTACACTGTTCTTCTGTTTGGTTTCGACACATGGTCATTAATTGTTAAGCTTAAGAGGAGTATCGAAGTGTTAGACAACCACTGCCTTCGTAGCATCGGCCGTATTTCGTGGAACCAACGCAATAGGAGAAGTCAGGGGTAGACCTTTAAACAACATAAATACGTCAATCAATGAGGTTGTTACACATGTCCAGCCACCACCTATCCTGTTGCACAAAATTCACGAAAACAGAATTTGTCTGGAAGAAGGTTGAAATTGGTCAGATTAAGACCTAATTTCAGTTCATAAAGTCTATGATAATTATTCTAAGCCTAGTTGAAATCGCCACGACAACCGAATTCTATGACTGGTGGCTTTAGATGATATGGTTTAGAATTGATCTCAGTGGTGCAGATATATACACACAATATCTTCATCCCACTCGTCATATCAAATTTCATTTTTTGTTTTATCCACCTGTTTCCCTCATTCTCATTCTATGACTTCCTTCGATTTCTGTTTGCATTTTTCCTTCCTATTTCTCTATTTTCTACTTTACTAACTTCTGCCTTGCAACAACTTGGACTATTATATATTAATACCAAGTCCCAGGACTGACTGACCTGCTTTCAGTATACATAATGTCATGGCATAAAAATATGTAAGGAATGCTAAGTTTGAAAGATGAATTTCTAACTTTGTGATTCGATATTTCATTTCCCATTATTTGATAAACTGACTCTGTCTCACCATAATGATATTTTTTCAGTAGATACCATATTTTCAGTTGTCGATAAATGATTAATGTATATTTTCAACGTAAGACTATGAAAGTACAAGAGGTTTCCTGCATCAAAAGTCATAAGATTTCTTGTAAATTTTATGAAAGATATTCTTTTGAAAATAAGTTGGTATTGAAAGGTGTGATAATCAATCTATCCAGTTCAGAAAACATAATATTGATGTAATCTTCCCTGTGCTCAAAATTCACCATCTACCACTAAAAGGACTCATTTTTGTCCAGCATTTTGATTGGGATCTGTCATTATTCATTTTCTCGGTCCAACACGTGACATTTAATATGTTTCCAGCCTGACATGAACCAAGTCAAACTGGACTGAACCCTATCTAAACGCTTCAGTTACCTGCTGATATGAGTCAGAATCCATCTCAGCAGTGCAGATATGTCGATACACCATATTCCCCAAAACTGTTACACTGCATTTCAGTATTCTCTCATTCCCCCTTGCTCTCTTTTCACGACATTCTACCACTATTGACCGCTTTCTTCTTCATTTCTTTGTCTTTTTTCTTCATGTGTTATCACTTAGTGTGCTGATATGAGGTGTGGCAACTTGGATCATCACGTAGTAATACGAGGTTCCTTTCTTGATATTATGTGTTTGTAGATTTGTTCAGAGTCTAAATCCTTTTCCGCCTATTTCGACTTGGAAAGTTCTTTCAGTAAAATGAGTCCTCACAAATTATCTTAAACTCATGACCTGTTTATGTAAGCCTGTAAATGTTTGTTGGACTGCATTACATTTCGCAAGATATATTTGAAGTGTTGATCAGTGTCAGTCTTCAGGTTCTGCTACGTAACTGGCAACCCAACGAGGTCACATTTTACTCGGTTCTTCAATTTTCATACCCTCTTAACAGTCGCTTCAGTTTTAATTCATTATTCCAACTTATTTGATTACTCTATTATTCATTTGGTTTAATAGAGAACTTTAAAACCACTTTTCAATTTTTTTAACACCTATTCCCAAGCACCCTTCAGGAAAACAGAGCTTTTTGTATGATAGTTACTTTTCCCGTTCAGTATCGTCTGGACAGGTGTTAAACGTGAGCTAATCTGAATACACATACATACTATTAAAAGAGTATCAGTAGTTGTAAGGCAAAGAAAGTGAACATGGTTTTGCTATAGCTAGCAAACTATTTATTAACACTTGTCGGCTTTCACGTTAGCCAGTTAGTTTGGCTACAAACACTAACAAACAATGTACATGGGCAGTTTTGGGAAACAAAAACACATACATAATTGAAATGTTCAAATAGCCAAAATGTGACCAACTAACTTAAGTGGATTGAAGAAACATGAAATATCACGTGTATTTTACTTGTGTTATCCCGGTGTAATGTATTATAATAAATAACAAAATAGACAAATATTTTTTTATTATTCCTCTAGGGGAATAAATGGCAAAAATTGTATGAAATATTTATTTGGAAAGAATACTCCTAAGGGTTAGCTGCTACTTACTTGTCCCACTTGTCAGCGTAACTTGTTTCAAATGCTTGAAAATCATCACTTTGTGTCTGGAATATTCCCTCTTCAGTATTTAACCAGAAATTAGTATGAGATGAAGAAGTTGTTACTGGTGTACAAGGTGGTGGCTGTAAAATATATGAAGATTCGGATTAAATAATAACATATGATGAAAAGAAACCTTTGAGGATTAGATGCTACTGTGTATAACATTATACCTTAATCCCATCATATAGCAATAAAGGCTGTTTAATCAGTTTTAAATGTAACTAAAGTGGGAAAAAGTAAGGTAAACGGCATCTATCAAAAAGACATGAGTATTATATCACGTACACTTTCTTTGGAAAAGTAATGAGAGTCGACGTTCAAGTAGCAAGGATTTTGAGGAGAAAATAAGAGTAAAACTTAGGCACTGTGGTCGATTGTAATTCCATTCTATTCTGTTTATTAGAAATATCACACAGTGAAACAGTAGCATTTACTGGACAACATTTCGGACACAATTTATTGTCCATAGTCATATCAGCATGTAACTCCACAACTTCGAGACAGTCTTTACATATTTCTAATTTTCTCTCCATCTCGGTGATGACAGAGGTAGTAGAATTTTCCATATATCTGGGACAGGTGCAGAATCATTTTTATTACTGTATGTATTTGGTGCTAATTCGATAAACAAAGATTCGGTTATCAATCTCTTCCTCCACTCAACTTAGTTATTTTTCAACACCGTCGCCCGATCCCACCGTGTTGTGTGGTTGTATGTCATCGCATGCAGAGCTATAGCCGAGTTTTTCTCTAGATTTCCTATCTTATTAGGACCTACTAATCTTGATCTAGCCAAGCTTTTGTGCTCTGTTATTCGAATCGACCCTGGTCGACTGCTTTCACCTATGTACTTGACCTCGCAATCATTGCAAGGGATTTGTCTGGCAAACCAGATTATTTTGCTTAATTGCATCGATGGGATCTTTTAACCTACAAAGCTTGTTTCTAAGCGAGTTTGTTGGTTTGAATGCCACTTCAATCACAGCCGTATTAAGAGTTCTTCTTAATGCTTCTGAGATGCCCTTCTTGTATGGTAACACAGCAGAGGCTTTGGATTCTCTCTTAACCCTGTCACCATCATTACCACTAGTATTGTTATCATTATTATTAGTAACACCTGTATTACTACTACTACCACTGCTAATATTTTTCTTTTTATTCCTTAGGAATTTATTTATAAATCTTGGTGGGTAATTATTGAGACGTAGGGTATTCTTGATGTATCTAATTTCTTGTCGCAGATTTTCCGATCTACTAGTAAGCTTTTTCGCTTTATCACTTAAGCATTTAACTAGGCCTACTTTAACTGAAATGGGGTGGGATGATTCGAAGTCTAAGTAGCGATTTGAATGGGTGGGTTTCCTATAGACACTAGTCTCTGAGGAGAAAGGCGAGAAAGATAGGAAGAGCATACACAGGATGAGAATAAAAGCAACATACACACCGAAACGCAATTCATTCTGAAGGCAAGACTTATAAGGTATTTGTTTGTTCTGAGTTGAGTGGAAGGTCATGATATTTTCCATCAGCACTAAGCGTCATTGTTTACTAACCAATTACATCTGTCCTCAAAGAGCTTTGTTTCCAATAACAAATGCCCTTAAGTCAACAGAGAGTAAGCCTTTTAAACAACTAATAATATGTTTTAGAGATAAGCCAATATAAACAATGCTTTTCCTTAATAAACTAGTCATATCTCACAGTCCAAATTCACGACAGAGGGAGAACACACTTTATGAGAAGTATCATTGTTGCTTTATATGACTTTGTAACGACATGATGGTAGTAGACGAAACGGAATTCTGAGTAATTCTTTTAGAACTTTGTGAAGATTTCCTGTAGTTCTAATGAGAAGTCATGACCAGCAGGACAAAACAAGTCAGAGGTGAAGACAATTATTCAACAGTGGCATTGGATGATGGTCGCACTATATCGCGAATTTACGAAAGTGGAAAAATGTGGGCCATTGGATCCCGACCCAGTGGCTGAATTTTGACGTGCTCATCACGATATCTGACGGCCCTGGGTCCGATCTCCGGTAAGGGTCGTTGGTGCGAACTGCTAAGAAGCCCCGTACTGGGACGAAACATCTATTCAGGCCTTTTAGGTTTTCATTAGTACAACTGAAGTCAATCTGTAATGAATACCATCCTGAAACCCCGAGTCATGGCAGTATTTGAAAAAGCGGCTTTCGGTTTAGCGGCTGAGCAAATTTATCAGAGACTGAAGTGACATAAAGATCTACTCATTAGATAAGTCTCTGAACTTCGTCAGTAAGGCACTGATTCAACAGCATATAGACCACTGCTTCGCTTCTCGCACAGGTTCCTCTTCTTTTTTCATCATTGTAAAAATACTCTGAAGATGCAGATCAGTAGGCTCCATAAAGTTCTGAACTAAGTATTTTCACTCTAAAAAGTAATTCACAATCTGATATGCTGAATATATGAGGTCTAACACCAATATACAGTGCTCCACGGTGTTGCCTCACTTTGCTTAGTGACCACATTGCAAAACCTGACCAAGAGACTTTCATTAGTGCTAACCATTGCGGACTAGACAGTTAGATGTGTTACCCACTGATGACAGACTCTTGTGCATAATCAAGCCCTGTAGCTTAGTGGTTAAATTTCTGACTTCATCACCGACCGTTAAGTATTTGAGTCCCTGAGGAGCGGCAGCTTCCATGTGGCTTCGGATATATACCTTGCTGATCAGTGCCAAGGGGCACGAAATCTAGGTCAAGGGCTTCCTGCTGACTGACTCTCCCTTACCATGCACCAAAGTCTAATAACTTATTGTTTTTTCATAAGAGATTCTATGCACTGTCAAGAAAAATTGATCGCTTCAAGCGATAAATATCATAGCCAAACGACAATTTTCAGCTATATTTCCCCAACGGTATTAGATAAAATTCCAGTACATTCGCTTTGCATTAATTCTACTACCACATGTTCAAAACTAACTATAATGTCTATCAGTCTGCTGCGTATACCGCACAGCTGTGAGACACGATCATAGAAGTTGAACAGTAAGAAGTTAAATACGTCTTTGATGAACTTTTTTATGTGATAGGATCTTAGTGCAAGCAGATTGTGTATGTGTCAAACTGGGTATTCTAGCCAAGGAAAACGGACCAGCTGATGAGAGTCAACCTATTTGGCATAAGCCCATTAGGACAATTATTATAAGCTTTTGAAATCATCACCTACTTCATAGTTTGACAATAGTGCTCGGGTAGGATCAGTTTAGAAACAAGCTATGCATGACTATACTAAAACGTGATATGGACCCCTGAAATATGTAGGCAGTTCAAGATAACTTGTCTGGGTATTCAGGATGTAACATGCAAATCATGTCTGCTGTTTGTAATTGTGTTTCTCTGCACATGTATGTGTTTTCACCGACCAGCCTATCAACCAGATTGTCTTCTACTGTGGTGTTCACCAAGAATAGACATCAGTTGGAGAACCTTTGAAAATCTGGAGGAAATGAATAATTATTTCGTCCTAGTGTGGGACTACTCAGTAGTGTGCACTGACGATCTTCTCCAAAGATCTCGCGGCGAATACATTCATATTCAGCCAATAAGTTAGAATCCAATGTTCCACATTAACCGCTTCTGCCGATTTGTAATATGACGCAAACGTCGAATGCCATCAGTAAGTATTTTCTTCACAATTTGAATACCCTGAATTCAACCGTGATTAGACAAGAAGTTAGATATATACTCTATCTATGGATTATCTAAGAATGAGCTATTTTTTAGACAGCCCAAAATCAATAGTGAGTTTTATTAATGATTATGCCATTGAAAACATTTGTTTTCCGATACGAATTAAAAACAAGCAACAAGTGTAAAAAAAGCAGGATTTAGTGAATTCATACATTTCAGTACTACTCGTCAGTTGGATACTCTATATACATACTGTTAAGCAATGGAAAAGAGCATACACACATACATAAGGTAAACTGAGACAGATTTAGGTGTAACAACATAGGAGTGAGTAGTTTTTACAGGTCAAATGGCAATCCAGAGGAGAGAAATGGATATTCAAAATTGAATGCGTTGGGGATAGGTTAGTTGAGTGGATTTCAGGTAGGAAAAGAATTATAACAACAGTAATAATGTTGACATAGGGGTCAGGAATGATTCGATTGCGCGCCGATTGCGTCATTGAAAACAAGATAGTTAATAGCACTTATGCAGACAATAAGAAAACGAGGCGTATATTGAGATGAACAATATTGATAACATTGGTAATAGGAATAAGGTTAATTATACGAAACAAATCAGAGAAGGAAAACAAAATATGAGATGGGTGATAATTAATAGCGAAGAGTAAATAAGAAGGACTAAATATTATTATTACCATGGTAGATTCAGGCTGATTACCATTTCCTTCTGAATGCAGAGGTTTTGCTGTCTACTGATAACCTTAAAGGACTTACAGGTATCAATATCATGTCCATAGTCCATTAGGTGCTTCGTTATCAAGCTCCTCGGGGTCTTCTTTTCGGCACGCTTCAACCATAGTATGTATGCTCTTTTCCATTGCTTAACGGTATATGTAATCAAATATGTAGAGTATCCAGCTGGCGAGTACTACTGAAATTTATGGATTATGCCATTATAAAATAAACAACTAAAAATGCAGGACATCGAAGTAAGGAGTTTGTCTATATTAACAGATTGTAAGCACCTGGCTGGGAACTGAAGATCCTCTCGGTCGAATCTTACTGCGAACCAGGTTCTTATTTCACCTACAATCATCACTTACTGCCACTAATGTAAGTCTGGGGAACCACGGCTCTCAGATAGTTAAATAGATTGTGAGATGTGGAAGTTTAGGAGTAAAAGAATAAGTCTTGGAGTTAATTAATTACTGGCTGACAGGTTCGCAACAAACTGGAACCCAAAATCTTGACCCCACTGCTATCCACAATCCATCCATAGTATCAAAATGTAATTAGTCACTAGTTTTCAGATGTGCTGTTTCTTACATAGGAGCTATTTTTGTAAAGGGTTATTACATAACGCAATGTAGTTAGATGGTGTAATTGTGAAGCTTTCATTGTCCTTCTACTCAATATTACCTGCACTAACTGAAGAAGTGGTTGATATATATATATATATATATATATATATATATATATATATATATATATACAAACATGTACATAAATATGGGCCACTCATATAAAATTTCATTATTTTTGGAAAGTTCAACCTGGGACTATTAAACAGTGAGCTGTTACTAAGTAGAACTGTGGTTCATTGGTGCTAGGCCCTCGGATTTCAACCAGTGGGTGATGGGTTCAAGTCCCCCTCTTCCTATCGACGTTTGTGCAGCCAGGAAGCATCACTAACCGTCACACAATAGATGTGTCTTATTGGGTACTATTCAGTGAACGCGCAGAAGTTTTCTGAGTGCGCTTCCATCTTTCTTTCTTGTTTATTCGAGCTCTTATTAATCGTTATTTAGAAAATTTCAAATCTTCAGCTTAAATATCAATATACCTCCAGGAAGTGTTGTGTTTTCGGTGGTCTATGCCCAAGATTACTTGGAAAAAATGTTCAAATACGGATTAAATTTGCTTACAATCTTAGGCTTTATTATTTATGGGGATAATAAACACTACGATTTCCTCTTTCACCAACTTGCTTTTATCTAAGTTGGATATTTGCCTACGGTGCTTAATATTGCTTCTGTAAGATTTTGGAATTACTCTTGACCATTCCATTATTCACTGTATTGTGATATTCTCCATTTAAATTGTAACAACAAGTATGTATGCATATACGTATAAAATTTCTGTGGACTGTAACTTACTGTAGCTTTCGATGATGTTAACCTTCTTGGTAGGCTTATATTTTCCGCGATAAACACCTTAGATGAAAAACAATAATAATAAGAGACAACATAAACATCAGTAAAATTTCACACATATATTTAAAATCACATTCTATTTTTGTTGTTCAATATAAAGTGAAGGAGATAAGAATTATATGATTTCAAGAATGTTATGCTCAGGGATAGAGTACCACTGTGGAACTGACAGGATATGAGAGTTGACTCGTCGCAGTTTAAGGATTTCCCAGCAGTTGAAGTTAGCCGTCCTGTGAAAGGCCAAGCTCAGGACAATAGAATCTTTTGACGAGCATGCTGCTAATAAAGCAATAATTGAAGGTCCGATAGTAAACACCAACTAACTTCCATCAATTCGCGACATAGTTCCTGGAGCCTAACCAAGTTTGCTGATGAAGTTTTCGATGAGAGCACTGAACAAAACAACATAGTGTTTCGGTGCATTGTGTTTGTGTTATATTTTAGAAGTTAATCAATGCAGGCATTTTACTTGTTGTCACCAATCAAGATGTGTGTGTATACGTAATCTGACTAGTGGCCACGTTACAAAATTGGTAGATAAAATTCAATCAGAAGTGAAGATTTGACAGCTATATCACTTACCATTCACTAATCAATTCATGTGCACAATACAGCAAAACAGATTTTTTGCCATTGCCGAACACCTTGGTAGTAAAGCGAATGATCTGATAGTTTTATATTGCAGTCTGCAACCTCTGAGAGAGGTTGTGAGTTTCTTTAGGGATAATGGACTAATCACCGGATAGTAACTGATGTAATGGTGAGGCCTTTGATATTCATTACTAAGGAAAGTTTATCAGCCAAGATGGACGCTCAGCTAGGTAATGTGCTGATATAGTGACAAGTGTTAGCAATCTGTCAGCAGGAGGTCCTAGTCATAGATACGCCTTATTGAGGACTGATGGCAAGCACGAACGCCTATACTTGACTGGGGTCCTCAAAAACGAAGGGAATCAATGAGTGCAGACTCCTGTTGATATTGCTCAAATTTATACACTCTTTTTCATCTTCAAAGTCCTACGCATTTTCATGAACATTGATCTGTTGATTTATTCCTTCGGGTGTAGGATATCATTTGCTTTAATGTTACTCACTTCCTGTCCACTTCTTTTTTTCACAGTTTTATAGAGTGGAAAGAATTAATAGTTTACGTTTCATTGCTAGCTGAATCCTAACACCTAACTTAGGCATGCTATATTGTGCAATAACTACTAGTTTGAAAATTCTATCGAGTAAAATTTAAGTTTATGGATGACGACGACTAACAACAGGATCACAAACGATACGAATTTTGAAAAGTTTTTCGATCTGTGCGAAATATCGTAGTTTGCTCATAATTAATACGTCAGAAAAGAAGTAGGCATGGATAATAGATTTTGCTATGGTTACTTGATAGTTTATTTGCTATATCAAAATATTCCGAATATGTATATATGCACTTAATGCTCAACTCTAAATGTAAACTTCCACAGCTTAACCAAAGGAAACAATTATCTTCGTCTGTTTAACATGTTAATGACATGAGGTTTAGATAACTCACTGATTCTCCATTCTCATTTCCCTTACTGTTATTGTTGTTGTGACTGATCCGTACGGCTGACTTGGACGAATTACTAATCTTTGGCGAGTCTTTTCTTCTAAGAATTGGTTTCATTGATTCTGCAGTTGTAGTAGGTTCATAAACTGGACATAGATCTGATTTTAGTATTTAGTCAAAAATAAATAAATAAACAATGATTTTATTACAAATTGAATGAAGGTCGCGCTATATTTCGAACTGACAGAAACAGAAAGAGATAAACTCCAAGACTTCGACCAAGTCGCTCCGTGGTTACGTGCTTGGCCCGAAACCTGAAGGTCCTGGACTTCATCACTGCTGGGGGCATGAGTGAGCACTGCTGAGCAGTTCTATGCTGGCATGAAAGACCTGTCCAATGCTCGCAGGTTTCCAGTGGTTGTATTGATTCGTGCTGAATATCAACTTGAGGTCAACAGAAATCCTAACAAACCTGCTAAATTAACGGTTTTATCCATTCATGAAAATATCTAACGTTGCGTTTCTTGAATAAATATCGAACCTGACAATTGTTCATTATTCTCCGAGCTTTTAGATTTTCTACTGAATGCTCCATCATCGGACTAAGCGACTTCGTTAGCGCTTACTTCATAAAGAATTTATATTTATTTTCTGTAAGTATTCATCCAGTCGAGCATACCTTGATCATATTACATTAGTCTTCTGAACATAACACACTAATATGGCAATAACGTTTCAAGCACCATATATCGCGTAAAATCATATCAAAATAGTTACACAGCTTACTGTTTTGGCCATTTTATAGTTCTACTGGTTACCATTCTTTGATTTGATTATCAGCAGTGACCGACCTCTCTCTCCACTTAGCTACAATAGTCTTTAGAAGTATCACTCTGTCCCACCATACTGTTTGATTGCGTATCATCCCGTGCATAGAAGTAGCTCAATTCTTCGCTAGGCTAATAATCCTAGTAGCGTCTATCAATCTAGACTTAGCTACTTTCCCATGTTTTGTTAACCTAAATTATCACGATCGGCCAGTTTAACCGAATGGTTTGACTTCACAATCAGCAAAAGGTCAAGCAGATAGATAAAACTAGCGTAGAACGTCGCATACAACTGCATTGGTTTAAGTTGCCACACTTCACAGTATTATGCAAAGAACAAGTGGATAGAAAAGAGTGATATCAAAGTAGACGAAGATATATGGGAAGTTAATGAGTTTTGAAATGAAGGTCAGGGAAAACAAAGAAGCTTTAGAAGACTTCAAGGAGAAAATACACTGATGACACTAATTCATTTTCAGCCACTTCACCTAGAGTCCTCAACTACTGATTCTTATCATCTCGAGGACAGCCTCTATGTATTCAACACCTCCCTACACGAATCAGATCAACAGTCACAAACTTCATCGACTGGCTTGACGTCTTGGTCTGGGAACCTTGAGTCTCCTTTCAACCTAATCCAACTTCAGATAACATTGCAAGTCGAGGTAGACGATGGCTCAGAGTGCACAACATAGGTTCAAGAAGCCTCACCTGCTGAGGATTCACAACCTCAAAGTGAATCAAATTATTTCATCTAACTCAGTCAGTGAAATCCTTAAGTCAACAAAGCTGACATCCAAGTGTGAATGCCACCTTGACTCCTGACTGATTGGGGGATTCTATTTAAGGATTCCTGCTGTCACTTCTTAATGTGACGTTGAATTTCTTCCAGTCACTGCTCCCATCAGTGCTTTTTCATGTTTCTTTAGGAATCGCTGAATTACTTTGTGATGATGTTTATTAAGAAGTAAAGGTTCTCTTATTCGTTTTATTTCTTTATTTTAACTTCATGACTTGATGTAATCCTAGCTCTGTCACTGACGTAGACTTAGATGGTCTAAAGTACACATATCTGTTAGTTGCAATTTTTCCTGAAGGCGCCTGTATCTAAATCACTGTCTTATCTTTGTTTCATTTTACAATCGACTCAACTCCTGGCATATATAACAACAACGGCTCAAGACAAGTTCCAGATATACGGAAAATCTAACTACATTTTTCACGTCACAGAATTGATACCAGTAAAACTATACAAAAATAAGGCAGGAAATCGTAGCACTAACTTGATATGATGACCAGTAGTAAATTCCTTTCAAAACCTCATCCAGCAAATAATACTTTATCCATTATGTGCAGTATAAAAACAGAATAATTTAACATGCAATTACATTCCATTATTATTATTATTATTATTATTATTATTATTATTAGTCCCTTGGGTTCCTAGTGGAACATAGGGCTTCAGTAGCATGTCTCCAGTGACCTCTGTTCTCTGAGATCTCTTGGACCTGGTTCCACGACAGCCCAGAAGCTCTCATTTCCTCCTCGCACGATCTCCTCCATGTCACCCTCGGACGTCCAACTCGTCGCTTCCCATGGGGATTCCACTCGAGCAACTGGCCTGACGCGTGATGTCCTCAGTCGGCCTTCTCAGTGCATGCCCAATCTATCTCCACTTCCTCCTGCATATTTGTTGCGTGATAGGTTCTTGGTTGGTTCGTTCCCAGAGCTCCTTGTTGCTTATCCTTTCTGGCCATCTGATCTTCAGTAGCGAGCGTAAGCAGTTGTTGATGAATGTCTGTAGTTTATTGGAAATCCCTTTCGTGACGTGCCAAGTCTCTGAACCATACAGAAGCACTGACTTGTAGTTGGTATTGAAAATCCGGATCTTGTTCCACATGCTGACTGCAGTGCAGTAGATCTCCACACTGGTTTCAGACTAATGAACACCTGTCTTGCTTTTCCGATTCTGACTTTGACATCCTCGTCTGTCCCGCCTGTAGTTGAAACAGTGCTTCCTAGATAAGTGAAGGAGGTTACTTACTTTAAGTTTCTCCCGTTGATGGTGATGGTGATTGGAGTTTGTTGTTGGTGGTGGTGGTGCGGTATCTTCATCACCTCTGTCTTCTCCATAGTCACTTGAAGTCCCGTCTTCGCTGCCCTGCCTCTTCTCTCAACTTGTTAGTTTTTGCCTGCAGATCTTCAAGTTTATGTGACATCAGGCACAAGTCATCGGCGAAATCCAACTCTTCTAGGTTCTTTTCCGCAGTCCAGTTACATTCTATTACAGTGTCCAAATTCTGTACTCATGTACTTAGATCAGTATATAGCTGAAACCAATTGTCATGGTCTTTGTTCTAGATATTTAGAGGTATTCTTCTGGTCAAAATGAGCTTAAGCCTTATATTGACTTGTATACTTAATGGAAAAGAACTTATCAATCATTCACTCTTCAACTGCACATGAAGGAGGATTTGGACCATGATAAATCCAACGAAGGTTTAGGTTACAAATATGAATTGGTTGAAAGATACTTGACTCGTCTGTGACAGTATGGCTGACTGACGTGTAAATATTCTATTTGTTGATGTCCATAAATGAAAATATGCAAAAGTAAACTGTTGTTCAGATTTAAGTTTCTGACGCTTCCAGTCACAACAGCTGCAAATTTCTATTCATTTTCTTCCCTGGAAGTTAGTGTTACTTGATAATCTACCAAGTCCTGAGAAGCAATCTTACAACACATTTTGTTTTCATTTTAATCATGTAACATTGTGGAGCAGGGGCTCACTGGCTTAGCTTAGAGAGACTGTTTCCAACCAGTGGGTTGAGGGTCCGAACACCGCTCCACGTACTGAGGTCTTGGCAACTAGGTGGTATCGTCAGTCCTCATGAAATAGGTTTGGCTACACACATTTGAATAAGGTTCCTGAGTAAACTTCGACTCTTAGACTCAAAGTTTCAGACTGTCGGTTTCAATTGTCTCACAGACACAAATCTTAAAGTCTTCATTTTCCTTGTACACTTCGAATCGAAAGTTACAGACTTCATGAACGAATCTCTTGTTTTTGTTTAGCCTTTCTCAGACTTTTCCAACATATAAATCCACTTATCAGGACAGGAAATGGTTAGATATGCGTAACATAAGTTGTAATCACTTTAGTCGGTGTATATCCACAACTTAGAAACTGTGCCTAACCATCGGCAAAACACAGATAATGCTGATGAGGCAGGAGTAATCAAAATCTTAGCTCTTTCATATCTGTGGACTTAAATAGCCATTCTTTTACACTCACAAAACAGGGCCGAGCACATGAATTTTCAGAACACCTGCTATTTGACTGGCATTCGGTTATTTCGCCAACATCACAAATTGAGCAAACTGACACCATCCAGTGGAAGATCACATTTTGTACTGTAGATCGGAGGAGTGCAACGGTCAAATACTGTGAAAATCACTCCTACATTGAAACACTGAACTCGAATTCATTTTTATTTAAAATATACTCCAAAAATACACTCAACTTACCATTAATTGTGATAAGTGGACGTGTAATCTTTTGAGCAGATGATAAAATATGGATTGATTTTGTTTGCATCGGTGATGGATCAAATGCAATTTGAGCATTTGGTGGGATCAGACCACGTTGAATTAAGTTTAAAGCGTTATGATTTTCATTTGTCTGGTCGTATTGGATCAGCTTGAATACAGAAAGATAATTATATACATTATTTTGAATTTTCTGAATTAAAACACAGAGAAGTATTAAAAGAAATCAAAAATATGAGTGTACCTTCTTGTTAGAACGAATACCCTGAAAAAATTCTGCTAAGAATTCTAATCTCAGTTTTAATCGTGTATCAACAATACCGGTCTGGTAAATCACAAATAATCTTACCAGTACTCAGTGTTGTGCTTCGGTGTCTTCGTTCTAATTTAGCTCGATTTGAATTGGGATAAGAGGACCTGACTGGACAACCAGTGTAATTATGACAGACGGACAGTTGTTTACTACGCATTCAAATGAAAGCTAGGCAAACTTTTAGGTAGCCGAGATGAAGTTAAGACCTGGTCAGTAGGTGGGTCTTGTGGATCAATCGGTGAACAGCTGGGCTGGTAATTCGTAGGCCACTGGTGAATATCGGTTGAAAAATAAGTTAAAACCAAGTATATGTAAACAGTTGTTTGATTTACAGGGTGCCTTCATTGCTGCTGATATGTATGTCTCATTGACCTTCACTTGATTGTTTCTAAGCAGCGTCAAAAATTACCCATAAACCCTTTCTTCTAAGGTAGAATGGGCCATGGCCAGATCACTCACTGTTTGATTTGAAGGCTTCATCAGTTGCCGATTGTAAACCATGCTCAAGATATGAAGTGCCCCCAAGTGCAGGGCTTTGAAATAAATGTCCTAAATTTTCGAAAGTAGGCCGTGGCCTGTGAGTTTTATCAACTCAGAGATGACAGTACATATCCAGGTGCTTTGCAAAACTGACTGGAGTTACATAGTGTAGGCGATTGGAATTCAGTGTACTGATTCACCATTGATTTGTTTCCGTTGAGATCTTGATGTCTTGCAACAGGTCCCGTATGATGTTAACTACTTGTAATGAAGATAACTTCACAGCTAGTGTGAAACGACTTTCACTGCACTTTGGTTTTTATTTGTTCAGTCAGTCAGTTAATCAATTTCAACGTGGGACCTAGCATGACTGCATAAAGTTCCAAGTTGCTACAACTCACAAAAGCATGTTAGGATACAAATGCACTAAGATGGAAGATGGAGAAATGTAAATAATATCACCAAAAGAGGTAGAAAATCATGAGAAGAGAGAAACAACGAGGAAACCAACCATTAAATTTGACATGATTAAAATAAAAATAATGAATAGATACATCTATGCCACTTAAACTGACTCACAGCTCCATATCACTTAAAGTCGTAAAATTATGATTTTTGTCCTCATGCTGATCTTAACAGACAAGTCTACATTTCCCTACACGGTTCGGATCAGCTGTCAAAAACTCCACAGAGTGGTGCCATCCATCTTTAGTCTGCCCGCCTTTAGCTTTTCTCCAGTCTAAATCTATTTCAGCCTACATTGTGTGAAAACGGACATACGGTGACTAAGTATATTGAAGACATGTCCTATCATCCACCCACGCCCAACTTGAGCATTTTCGGTGCGGAGGTTTGACGACATGTGATTAATACAACGAGGTCAACAGCGGTCAAATACCTGACGTCTCCTCATTTGATACAAGCTTGACGGTCATGTTTCGTAGCCATATTGTAAGACAGAATGAACTACAGCACAGTACAGTTAACACTTAGTAAGTAATTGCATATCTGGCCGGTTTCACAGATGGTATCGGTTGTCAATGGATGAAGCTATCGATCCATTAATAGGCAAATCGTAAGTGCTCGATAGGAGGGATACCGTGAGATCGTTTATAGTTATTTCTGAAGAAGCTGTCTAACTATGAACTGTGGTAGTACTAGATTCTGGATGTCAAAGCTGGTTGCAATAATGAGCGAGTGAGAACTTTTTCGCCAACTCGCATTACTCATACCAGTCGACACAACTACTTGGGTCTTGGGTTCCGAAGCCGTGTTACTGCCGATTTCTACCTAGACAACAAGGTAGTATTCTAAGCCCCTAAACAACTAACGTGGCTCGAAGCTCAGGACGTAGACCCATACTAGGTTGAATTACATTATCTTTATTATTATTCTATACAAATTGAGTAGTATATTCAAAGAGAAAGCTGAACTAATGAAAAAAACAGCCAGATGGTAATCCTCATGGACTGACTTCAGTTGAAGAACCTTTGAAAACTACGGAGCATTTGACTGTTGGAGAGTTCCATACTAGGACGAAACAGCTGTCCAGTGCCATAAGGTTTCGAAGTGCTCTCCAGTTGATGTCAATCCTTGATGAATAACTCATAATTTATGTGGTTGTGTGAATGAAAAACCCTTTATTCTAAAAGCACCAAGATAATATAAGAAGCTTCTGTTAGTGAACCCAATCGCTATTGTAAAGTAGGGTGGAATGAAACAACTAGTTTCACTGAGAATTTCCTCATTTCACAGATTTCTTGAATTTCACCGTAATCTAAAGTTATGATTATCTGTTAGTCTTCGATTTCAATATAAGCTTATAACCAAAGAACATTTCACGTTACAATTGTACTTTAAGTGGATAGAAAACACTCTATCAAAAATAAAACAGTGTGCTTACTTTAAAATTCTTTTTCCTTTTTCTAAGTGTGCTTAACTCTACATCGGATGTATTACTAACTTCTTTAGACTTTTTCTGGAATTCAGTAAGAAAGCAGAAAAACAAAGACAAAATATAATGTCTTCAAACTGTTAACAAATGTCGGCTGAGACGACAGATGGGTGGATGATCAATTAAGGGGTTTCATTAAGAAGTGGTTGAAAGTCATTTTTCCACCAATTAATTTACATATCTTTTTCTTCGGATTTCACTCCATTTGTTTTCTTGAATATCGATGCACATCGCTCAGTCAGTTAGCCAGTCAATGGGATCTGGAAATAGTACATAACGGTTCAAGCTGCCTCACCTCACCTTTACTTAGAGCTGCAAAACCTTCACAAGGTATTCTCCTCGAGGTAGTCAACTCCTATGCAAATGGGGAGAATGATTATTCCAAGGTAGGTATATACACTTCCTACTGACTTCAAAAAAGTTGGAAACAAGCAACTCTTGTTAAGCTATCTTCACTTTTTTAAATACCCCAGTATTCTTATCAGTTGATTTTTGATAGTGTCTGATGGTTAATGGAATTGGAATTCATGGAATAGCAATTTATGACGTTACCTTAAAGATGTTGAAAATCATAGGTTTTGCGATGAGTGAAATACTCTGACAACATATCCCTCAATGAGAAAGGAGTAACAAGTCCTATGAAGTTAACTTATTCAAGATTCAGTAATTTACCGTAACAAAATCAAAATAAATAACTGTAACTTAACAAAAAAATACACACTTGTGAAGAATATTTTTTTATACATAGGTAGGTGAGGAACTGTCACACAACAAGCGTGTGAAAGTCTGTGAGTCAGATTTACTGTATGTGGGCCAATTATATCACCTGGCTGATGAAACGTCAGTAAGGCAAACCAGATCTTTATTGAATTTTATCATAGACCTGCTCATGAAGGTCTCTCTTTCATTGTCTGATATCCCAAGAACTGACTTGGTCACAGAAGAATCCTAAGTAGACCTGTTATATGAATATGATGACAAGATGTAGTCTTCTGAATAGCCTGAGTGGTAATATAAGTGTAAAACTTGGGCACTGTGGTCGAGTGTAATTCCATTTTAGTCTGTTTCACTGTGTGATATTTCTAATTATTTATTATTATTATTAGTCCCTTGGGTTCCTAGTGGAACATAGGGCTTCAGTAGCATGTCTCCAGTGGCCTCTGTTCTCTGAGATCTCTTGGACCTGGTTCCACGACAGCCCAGAAGCTCTCATTTCCTCCTCGCACGATCTCCTCCATGTCACCCTCGGACGTCCAACTCGTCGCTTCCCATGGGGATTCCACTCGAGCAACTGGCCTGACGCGTGATGTCCTCAGTCGGCCTTCTCAGTGCATGCCCAATCTATCTCCACTTCCTCCTGCATATTTGTTGCGTGATAGGTTCTTGGTTGGTTCGTTCCCAGAGCTCCTTGTTGCTTATCCTTTCTGGCCATCTGATCTTCAGTAGCGAGCGTAAGCAGTTGTTGATGAATGTCTGTAGTTTATTGGAAATCCCTTTCGTGACGTGCCAAGTCTCTGAACCATACAGAAGCACTGACTTGTAGTTGGTATTGAAAATCCGGATCTTGTTCCACATGCTGACTGCAGTGCAGTAGATCTCCACACTGGTTTCAGACTAATGAACACCTGTCTTGCTTTTCCGATTCTGACTTTGACATCCTCGTCTGTCCCGCCTGTAGTTGAAACAGTGCTTCCTAGATAAGTGAAGGAGGTTACTTACTTTAAGTTTCTCCCGTTGATGGTGATGGTGATTGGAGTTTGTTGTTGGTGGTGGTGGTGCGGTATCTTCATCACCTCTGTCTTCTCCATAGTCACTTGAAGTCCCGTCTTCGCTGCCCTGCCTCTTCTCTCAACTTGTTAGTTTTTGCCTGCAGATCTTCAAGTTTATGTGACATCAGGCACAAGTCATCGGCGAAATCCAACTCTTCTAGGTTCTTTTCCGCAGTCCAGCGTATCCCCCTCTTCTCGCCCCCCACTGTTTGCTGCATGATCCAGTCCACCACAATCAGGAATATCATGGGGGATAGTAGGCAACCTTGTTTCACTCCTGTCTTCACTTCGAAAGCATCACTGAGCTTCCCACTGTAAATTACTTGGCATGTGGCATCTTCATATAGTTGTTGAATGAGGCGGATAAAGATTTACGGTACTCCGTAGTAATGAAGCAGTTTCCAAATTACCTCCCAGTCGACGCTGTCAAAGTCCTTCTCAAAGTCGATAAAGTTGAGGTAGAGAGCTTATTGCCATTCTATACTCTGTTCTATGATGATGCGAAGCGTTGCAATTTGGTCTGCACATGATTTGTACTTCCTGAAGCCTGCCTGTTCCGGTCGCAGTTTTGAATCCAGTGCATCCTTAAGCCTCTCCAGGATGATGCGGCTTAATATTTTACTTGGGGTGGACAGGAGAGTGATTCCGCACCAGTTCTTTCAAACACTGAGGTCTCCCTTCTTCGGCAGTTTGACAGTGATATTTCTAATAAACAGACTAAAATGGAACCTGAGTGGTAGTTTGAAAATCTTTCTCGCCATACAAATGAAATTTGTTGCTACTGGATGCATATCTATTCTGGAAAATGGTAAGACATGGTCAGACTAAGATGCCTCATCAGTCTATGAAATCTGACTGCTGGTCTGAGGTGCGTAGGGAAATGTTTACTTCCTGATTTGGATCTGCGTGAGAACCGAAAGTGCCGGTGGAAGACTAGATGTGACATGGCTCAGAATCAACCCCAGTGCACAGATGTATTCATACATCATCTGCATTCTAATCGTCATACTGAATCTCAGTATTGTCTCATTTCTCTGTGATCTCTTTTCAAGTCTTTCTTGCACTTTTCACTGCCTTCTTAATCTTTTATCTTATTACATCGTCACTTGATATGCTGATATGAGACACGGTGACTTGCAGCTTTACACAGTAATGCAAAGTCCTATGCTGATACTGTTTGCCAACAGCACTATGTTAAATTATCATAGATCTTGTCCTAAAGAATGCTTAAAAGTGGTTGCTCACTAAGTATAAGTATCTTTCTACTATTTTAGTGGCAATATTTATTAACTGTGAAGAACACATAGGTCACCGTAAGACATGAACTCTAGGTATCTAGGATGGTAGATACTCGTTTTCCTAATCCTCAAAGAGCTCCATAGCCTGAAATGATGTAAAGCGCAAATGGTTTCCTCTTTAGTTAAAAATTATTAAGTGAAATGATAATGTAATTAGACTTAATTGAAGAAATAAATGTTTTTTATACCATACAAAAACATTACATATTTCTGCTGTTTCATTGTTTTTTTTTCAGGCAGACAGCTTACATATTTACAATTGACTGATAAAAGCCTACAGGGCGCATAAAAGATTGGTAAGATCATATGAAACTTTATTTGAAATGTTTATAAACTGTGTGGTCGACGAACAATTTTAGGGCAGTAAATGTCCTCAACCATGCTGTTTTCCCAGTCAAACTACAGAAAATTTTATGGATTTACGATGGTATGAGTCTATTTTCATCAGACATAAACAAACATATTTTACTGATATTCAAAACTCGACGATATTTACATGGATTTATTTAGACTTTAAAAAGAATTACTCATCGAATTCAGAGTCAATGGTCGAATAGTCATGATGTGCCAGTCATAAAGCTGAAAAGTCTTCAGTACAAATCTAGATTTAGTTATAGCTTGTAGCGATGAGGGATTCTCGAGCTCAGACTGAAAAGTCACTCAGTCACCTTCGATGAAACTCAATTTTTAACCTTTCTGATCTTAAAATCAATGCCGATCTCAACTCCACAAAAAAGAAAGCTTTCAGTCTCTTATGTCTTGTTCTGACGACTATTTTTTCCTAAATGCAGGCAGATAGGTGGATGGATGGATCGGTGAACTGACAGACAGGCAGATAGCCTGATAGATTGACTTATTGATTGACTCACCCATTCATTGACGTATAGACAGACACAAAACAACATGGAACTTGACATAGAACTGCATCAATTCAAGTTTCCACACTCGATAATAGCATGCAAAAGAAAGTTCCTGTAAGCTTGATTGAAATGTGGAACTCACACAGATAGGCAGTAACCCTCGTTTTTTAAAAATTAATAAGATAATGGCGGTGCAGTTGTGTTGTCAAAGTTAGCTTCACACCACCCAAGAAGTTTTGACTCAAACGACGAAGGCATCAATTAGATTGTGTTTTAAAGTAAACAACAGGATTAAAAATAACTTATGAATTATCACTTTTTATGGATTATGGTTATTGCAGAAAATTAAAAGTAGTCGTGTTAATGTCATTTATGATAATCATATCGTTTCAGGTTTAGAAATAAATAAACGTAAACATTTTTTGAAAGGTTCCTAACTCTCAATTCAATTCAAAGTTGAATTGATTATCGTGATGGCTCACAATCCGCATATATTACCACTTAATCATTTAATCCACCATCCATGTATGTGGTCCGTTATGTACGCTCTGTTGAAGAAACCCAGTCTTATTCAAAACAAGTGTTGAGTATTTATTACTTTTTAGTGAATCCTGAATTGTTGTCACCTTATCAAAAAAGTGGCATACACAATTATCAATTCCTTGAAAACTGCTTAACTTATAAGTGATAACTGTCCAAAGAGAAATCGTGGGAGAATTTGTGGGTTTCTTTTCCATACAATCGCCTGGACTTACATTGAAGGTAGGACTGAGAAACTGTGCTGTTCACTAAACGAAATATTGAAATCACAGAGCAAGATCGATTGCTTTTTAAGATTAAATGGTTCAGAATGTAAACAAAGGCCACTGTAGCAACTGTGGATAATATGTGAATGATAAAACAATTGTGAACTATTGAAGAAAACAGACAGTATCAACAGCATATAATCCCAGTTACCATACTGCATATCAAGTGACAATGGACTTAGATAAAATATAAATAGCAAAGCACTCGAGATTGGTAGAAATTCGTGAAAAGAAAGTAAGGAAGGAATACTGAAATTCAGTATGACAATTAAGATGAAGTGGGCGCATGGG